TATATATCTGCAAAGCTGCACAGAAACAAGTGAACACTCAAAGATACTATCTGCTTGTTAGTCTTACCAGTTTTATATTGATCAGATCCTCTGTATCGTCGATATATTCTTTAAGCTGCAACACCAGAGACAATGGAAGTGAGAAATACAAAAAAGGGAAAGGAAACGAGTTATTGGCTATGTTGCTCATACTCTCCGAAAATATCGTAAGGTGTGTGTTTGATCCTCCAAAAGTAGGGTATTTTTGGAGGACCTAACGGGGGTGCGGCAGCATTTTGAAGAGTACACACAACTATTGGGAAAGATCTCGGCCTATGCAATTTTTGACTCTATTGAAGATCTCTCATGTCCTGTGTTCGGTTTATGAGACTAAGATAAGCGGTTTGACTGAACCCCGTGTAGTCCGCAGTATATTCTCCCAGAATTATTCACACATAAAAAGCTAATAACTAGGGGTAGATTAAGTACTTAAACAACTTACATCCTAAAGAAAAAAGAGAAAGAAAGTGAATGAGTCGCCCAAGGTTGGAAAGAAATGTAGGGGTCAAACGGTAATATAAGGTCGATCGGAAACAACCTCTCTATCTTCGCAAGGTAAGGGTAAGGCAGCATAAACATTACCCTCCACAGACCCCACTTGTGGGATTACACTGGGTTTTTTGTTGTTGTAAATAGTAATATGAGGTCTACTTAATTTACCCACTAATATATTAATCAGGTGCTAGATTATTCCCATAATTCTCCCCTTATCCATAAACCAGAACCTGAGGCTATATATAAGGAATAAAATTTAAGATTGTTGAATTTTTTTGTTGTTGGTCAGAATGGTAATTTATCTCTAAAAGCATCTCTTGAATCTATCAGGAACTGCTTACTTTATTCTAATGTAATTAATGTTGCACTATAAATATAAGATTTTGTGGACAATATTCAAGAAGGAAAGCAAGTAAGTAGCTTAACATAAGAATCTCTTACTGATAACAACTTGTTGAGAGTGCTGTCAATGACAACAAAGTATGCTTCAAGCAACATTTCAAGTTGATCGATATTTTCTTGACCATTAGATGAAGCTGAAAAGCTTCCGTATTTGCTTGAGCTCACATTACTGAATGCTCGTTGCAACTTCTGCACCCCCGAAGTTGATGATACAGGTGAGATCGGAGCAGATCTTGCTGCTCCTCTATTTTTGCCAAATATATCTGGTTGATCATATAAATCATTATTAAGAAAATCCTCCTTCCTTTGTTTCTTCTCTGTTAAGTACATCTCAGCCATGTCACCGTCATCATCCATTAGATGTTCTATTTCATCACAGACCTGAACATTTGTTTAAAAAGTTTATAAAGCAGCCTAAGAAGTTACCAAGCGTTGTCAGACTGTGTACTACAATCATACCTTTTGGACTCGCTGAGTCAAGGCAAGCAGCTGACCTTTCAATCTACGGACTCGTTCCAGATTTAGAGTGTTAATAGATGATGCCAGTTCATCAAGAACTGGGTATATTTCCAGTTCTAATTCTTTCACCTGTTAAATTTAGAACGAAATGAAAAATAAGTTTTGATTAAGAACATATATTTAATCATGAGAAATTACTGCAATTTGTTTGAGGTACTGGATACAGAGAAAAGAAAACCATGTAAAAGTGCACTTATATTTTTCGGCCAACACCTCACAGTATGGTAATAATAAAACTGAGTAATAAACAGCATGGAGGGGATAATCTAACATCCGAAAGCAATTGATGCAAAGCATCTTGAATCCATTATTAGTTAACCAACAAAGAACAAATGAAAGCTCTTAACTTAGAATGGATCAAACTGCAATTGAGCTTTAAGATATTCTATAACTCCTCTTTGCAGTTCTTGATGGTCCTTATCGCATTATGCATCAATGGCATATATTAGTGCAAGTATATTATTGCCTACTATGGACAGAAATATTGTAGTTTATTACAGAAAGAAAAGTTTCAATCAGCCACCAAGTGAGTCTGCCGCATACCTGAGCATCAAGAGACAAGCAAGTTAGCTCCAAAGCAAGCTCAAGGGCTCTGAATTCGAAAGGAAGACCATCTGAATTAAAACACCACTCATAGTGAAAATTTTGAAATATATCAAATTTACCATAAATCAAATGACACATCACATTGGAATAAAATGGATATAGAGGATTCATAGAACAGACGCGAACAAGTTCGGAATGGTGTATTTGCTGTTGTATCAAATGGCATATGACATTATAGTAAATAAATGAAAAGGAGAGAACATTTCAGAATAATCACCGTAATTACATGCAACACTCAAACAACAAAAACACCATCCGTTGCTGAACATGCTCAAGTATCGTACATTTATAATAGAGGGGATAGGCTCAATTGCTTCTAATAGCTATAGATCTGTTTCACTGACAAGTGAAGAGCTATAGATAATAAGTATAGAAGTTTGATCAAATTAAAGTCAAAGATGTAAGCCAAGCTGTCATTCGAGAGCACCGACAAGGAGGAACCAGAAACATTTTAAGGCTAATTTTTCTATTTCTTTCTGCAATAGCAACAACAACAACAACAAACCCAGTGTAATCCCACAAGTGATGTCTCGGCAGACCTTACCCCTACCTTCAAGAAGGCAGAGAGAAGGGCAAAACTCAAAAGTAGCATTTGTGAAAGATCTTAATAAGTGCATGCTACATGGACAGAAGCAGCTGGATAACAAACTTGGAGTTCAAGAAAGACTATACTCAATACCTTTAATGTTTATCAGTTTTCTTTTTTCCTATATTTCCTTTTAAATGAGATCTTTATGCCCATGATGCACAGTTAGTGTCATGGAAATATCGCGGTTACACAAGATAAAATTTCCAGAATAAAAAGTCATTTTCCAATAGTGATAAAAAAAAAAAAAAAAAAA